TTTTGGAGAATTCGAGACAATTATGCCAAGACACAGTCGAGGGTTTGCATAACTTTCAAGAATTCTCACAACCTCCGAGTGCTTAGATGAGGCTATGTAATCACGAAAAAGGCCCTGTGTTACTTTCATTAAATATTGCTAAAAAAATACGCGCGAACACGTGACGAACGTATTTACACACTTTCGTCTGAACACACCCATCGACCAATGAGTGCGCGCGTAATAGCTCAGTCATTCTATAAAATAAAATTGAAATGGATACATTTGATTATTGATATTTTCCTGATTAGTTGTCGTTGCTGTTAATGTTCTTCTATGTTTCTATTTATTATTTCTATAGTAGTTACAAGGGGCCAACACGTTTTCAAAGTGACATGCGTGACAACGATAACATAACCAAGAGAATTACATGAAGTCCTCGATTAACTTTTTTTCCAGCTAAACTCCCTGGGCACTTTTCATTCGTCGAAAGAGTCTGGTTTGAATTCTCCAGAATTTCCAGTGCCGAACGGAATAGCATTTTCCAGAATTTCCGAAAAAGACCAGGAATTTTGATTTTGATTTTGGATTTTCTTGCCGAAATTTCCAGAACTTTCGGTTGAATGACTCGCTTTAAGGAAATTCAACAATTTGTGGAGATTTTCGTACCAATTGTCCCCGTTTCAAAATTTTCGGAATTTTTGGTTGAATGGAAAACGTCCTGTGTTTCACTTCTTCTTCTTTTTTAATTCAGCGAGTTACATCCGATCTCAAGGATTGAGCTCTGTAATTGAATCAGAAAAATGCCTTTGGTTAAAAGTACGTACTGTGTTTTTAAAAGTATAATCATTGTCATTATGTCATTATGTGGAAGTGATATTATGATTTATTAAACCGTCTTTATTAATTAAGACTCTCGTGTGCGTCAAAAAAATCTTACGGGGGCAAATAACCTTTCAATGGAGTGTACGAGACGATGACAATCCGTAACAATCTGAAATACCTGTATGACTAGTTTTTCTTCGAGTCGCGTTGTTATAATGTATTGTGTTGTTCCTTGCACTCACTAGCTTTTAGATTATTAAATAAGTWCTCTTAAAAAATGAAAATAATTACCCTAGAATTTGTGAAAGTTCGAAAGCTCCGGAAATAACAACAACATGAACTAAATGTGAATTTATGAGTTAGCTGATTAATACTGTCGCTGACTGGGTCAAAAGCCATACATTTATCAGTCTTAGAAATATAAACGCTGGGTCCTCTTTTGGATTGACCCCTGGACGTGCAACGAACGAGGGGTAAATGCTAACCCTGCCTCGCCTCCTTGAAAATGGTACCCCCCCTATGATACCAAAACGTTCTTGCCTGTTCATTTGTTCGTCGTTGAGATTTTGATGTGCGAACTGTGTCTTCACGTCATGCGGATTGAGTAAAACTGGATTTTTTTTTCTAAGCGGTATTGCATAATTGATATTTGTCAGTAATCATCATTCTGGATTATTTTTACTTACTATTTTCCAACTTCCTTAAAAGCTAAGAAATCCAACATGTTAGATCCATGATTGTGGATTTTATAACGTCATATGACGTGAAAACCAACATGAATGGGTAAGGACGGTGCCATGAGTTTTCTTGCACGACTGAGACATAATTCTACTTACAGAGATTGATGATCATTTCTCCAATGTTTTCTTTTGTGTTTTAATATCGGCGAAAGAGTAAAGCATCAATAGCTCTGTTTGTGTCTCCTGATTGTACTTATTGCTTAAATGTCTGCCCCGAATG